AAGAGCTTGTCACTGTGTACATATTTCTGCAAAAAATCAAAGCACAGGATGATTCAGTCTTCAATCATAATGTTTGTTTTACTGATTGCAAGTATTGCTTTCTGTTTAAAATGTTAGAGTTGAACTCAGATATGAGTTCTTTCCTTACTGTAGTCTCTGATTTTACGTGTTGTCTTTTGGTGTGCCTAATGATGGCATTGAATTTGTGATTTTGAATTGAAGCGAGAGCAACGTGGCAGGTTGCATTGGGATTTAATTGGTACGGCATCAATAATGTTCAGTGTGTGTTACGCCCATGTGGGATACAGCATGCATAACAGAGGGTCAATGGGATATTTTTTAGTTGGGTGAGAGTGTTTTCAGCTTTAGTCGTAGTCAGATTTCTCAGTTTAGGCAGTGTGGGTATGTGTATACCAAAATATAGACGTGTGCATATGCACTCCTGTGACACATGGGGATGATCTTGGAATAATATAAATTTATATTCTTAGCTTTGAAATAATATTTTGTTGTATCAAGTAATTTCTTATGACCACGCCTTCTTCCCACTGCATTGCAAGAACACTCATTTATCTGTAACGGAAATTGTCAGAAATGTAAAGCAAAAGCTCTTCTGCACTTTGAACACGTGTGGGTAGTATCTGAAGTCATGGTTCCATCAGATGGAATTTTTTGTGTGTTAGTGTCCTCTCATCCCTGGCATCAGGTTATGTTTAAAATGTTTTTCCAAACCTCAGTAGTGCATTAATATTCTCTTGCCTGGTTGTACAATTATTTTAAAAATCGATTCTTTATTTTAAAGTCTGTCAAAAGTGTATCTGTAACTTGAGAAGCATCAGCTGAACTCATATCCCAGCTAATGCTTTTGGTAAATGGATTTTGTGGCATCAGTTCTATTGAAGCTATCTTATTTTGGCATGACTTGAAATTCACTTGGGATGTTTCCGACTTTGATGGGGGTTGGGGTTTTTTTGGTTTGGTTTTTTTTTTTTTTTTTTCCTCCAGGAAACAATTAGTTCTAATGACTTGACTTGAAAAAGAGATAACATTTTATTTGCTGTTTTTCTAGGTTATGTTTCGAAGTGCAGTTAAAATCTGGTGTCAAACTTTTCAGTTAACTAGCTGAAACTAATTTGAGATGATGAATTTTATTTTAAAGGTTATTTTTGAAGCCTTAGCTTCAAAACTTCATGTGGTAATAGCTCCTAAACAAACCACTCTGTGAAATGGCAAAGTGCTGATGGCTTTATGAAGTGTTTTAGGATACCTGCATCTTGTCAGATAACAAACGGTAGTACAGCCTTTCTCTTTTGTGTTTGGTTCCTTTCCTTCTTCCATCTTGTCTTTTGATTCTTGAATATTTGCCTTGGTGTTTAATTATGTGGCATTTCATGTCACTTTCAATGGGCACTTACTCTTTGCCTGTAACATTACATTTTCCCTTTCTTACCCCTGGAGTTAGTTAGCAGGCACTAGCTGCAAAGAGCAGTGGTAGTGTTTTGTAACTTTGTCAAAGAAAGGAGGCCAATTAGCACTATGTTTGGGTTGAAGTAATATTTTTTTTTTCCACAAAGAAAATAAACAACTTTTTAAGCACAAGTAAGATTTTACTTGTAAACATAGTCACATTTTGTACATTTATTCAGTTTTGCAGGGGTAATCAAATGTATTTGTTTTAGTATGAACTAGTGAAAACAATAGGAACACATTTCACAAACTTTCTGTAGATGCAAATGTATTAGAAATGGTTTGTTTTTCTTAGTTTGAAAACAGCTTAATTAAAATCTGATAGCAGTATGAAATTATAATAGGTCATACTTCGTGTATGCTAAGCCCCCCACTGTGGCTTTTATTTTTAGTTATATTTTATGGATCTTTTGTATACTGGATCCTAGCAGCGTGAAAAGCTAGAAGGTAAAAAAGCTACAAATGAACTATATTCCTTAGGCTTTAGTGCAGTTAACCTAGTGAGACTGGCTAATTAATTAGTACTAAAAATGGGACTATATATTGTTAATATATCAAGAAGTCATCTTCATCTTTTTCATAATTTTCACTGATTTTTGCAGGGCTTTTTGAAGGCTATCGAAGATTCTTTTAATTTTATAAAGGACACAGAGTATAGGTGTAAGAGGAAGAACAGGAAAACTGGCAAAATAGAAATGAAACCTTGTTTAGACAACTTGAAGTGTAGTGTTCAGTCCATTGAATTCAGCAGAACAGAACACTTAGAGGAACTCTTTCTTGATGTCAGTGCTTGTTTAGAAGCAATTGGAGCTCTAATTTTGTAATCTACACCTATGTGGGACTATGGAGCTGAGTATTATCTGGAGAATTGATGGTTGTGATGCAGCTTTCTTCCAACGCTTTTTAGTAAATGTTAATGGAAATGTTCACATTTATCTTAGGTGAATTTGAAGCTAGATTTCTGACAGTATGCAGCTTTTTGTAATACTGTATGTAAGGTGGAAAAGGGAGATTAAAACACAGAAGTTTGTTCAACAGGGGATAGTCACTATGAAGTGTGAATTGAGTAAAGTGAGTAACAAGTGAACAGGCTTTTCTCCTCTGATGTTAGCCCTTACAACCATAGTGGAGACCTCTTGATTCCTCTAGATTTTCTAGGAATCCTCTTCAAACTCATCCATCCTATATGAAAAGAAAATAAAACAAGTGTTGATTTAGCTACTTATATTCTGGAAAATAATGTAGTTCACATTATACTTAGGCATTCTGTCAGATGTTGAGAGAGAGAGTTTTATTCTTTGAAAGAATAATCAGAGTTTTATTTTCTTCACGTCTCTCTATCTAAACAAAATTGTTTCATGTTTAGAATCTTATTGTTCCATCTGGTGACAGAAAAGCAAGGACTGATGCATTCTTTTGATAGATTTTCTTTTTTCTTTCTTTCTTTTTTTTTTTTTAAATCTGGTGACCTGGTACCTGTTGGTTCACTCAGAAATTATTTTGCATTTGCTTTACACATGTTTCAGCTATGTGTGTACAATTAAAATTGAACTGGAAGTAGTAATTTAATATACATTCATTCTTCCTCTTTGTTTTTTAGGCATGTTTCATTTACCGATGTGAATTCAATAGCTCGTTATCTGGCTAGAGTTGCTGGTTCTGCTGGGTTGTATGGTTCGAATCTGTTAGAACACACTGAGGTGAGAAGGAATCATGCCTCTTTGTTTTTTTCCTTTTCGTTTTTCTTCTCTGTTTTGACCTGCGATCAAGATTGAGGGGGGGTTTTAGGAACTTGTGTCTGTTGTTCAGCATTTTATTGCTAGACTGAGGTTCCAGCTATGTGGGATTCTGAGGGTTTTGTTTTCTGAAGCTTGCTCCTTCTTCTAGGAAAGTCATAAATCTGAGCATTGAAAGGGTTGCCCTTCCCCACCCCTGCAACAGCAACTCCTGACCTGACAGTTTGCTGGTAAAAGATAATTCAGGTTGGAAGGTGAAACCTGCAGTTTTCCCTCTTCACTTTCCTCAGCTCTAGTGCCATCAGCTGCTACCTTGTAACACTTCAGTGTAACACCAAGCCACACTGTATGACACTCAAATATTGAGTTAGTTTTTGCTCTGTGTGATGTACAAAACGCTGCCGCCAATTTCATTCAGTGAAATGTGGCGAGACATCGCCACACAGGTGGACTGTTCCCTCCTGCAAAGTCCTGTGTTCCGTAATGCTTCCGTAGTGGTGCCAGGAAGGCGCCAGAATTTTTGTGGCAAAAAAGGAACTTTTGTGGTCTTCCTTTGCTTCCACAGGTTACAAAAAGTTATCAGGAACTGTGGATATGGTATGAAATGAGAGGGAATTCTTCCCAAGTTTAGCTCAGAACAATCATATGGTGAATTTTTAGCTGGTGGCTGAAACTAACAGATAAATTGAAATTTATTTCCTCTGAAATTTGAGGTGAGAACTGAAGGACTTGACTCAGCTCTTTTCTACAGCTATTTGAAGCTCGTAGTAATCACTCTTCAGCCCTTATAGCTGGTCTCAAGGGAAGAGTTGTCTTAGTATATTGTTTGTAAGGCTTTTTAAAACGTTGTAGGTTATCTTGTGGCTACTGAAACTTTCTTGACCAAAAGCCTTGTTTTAAAGTTAAGCTCCAAGATCTCTGCAAACACACTTTCAAGATTGCTATTTCTGGTAAAATACTTCCTTTCATTCTGCATCTTTCAAGAACTTTCAATAAGTACAGTGACAACTGCATTTTTGGTGCAAATATTTTTGGAGCACAGCTGCAAGTGACTGAACTGAATTCTGTGGTAGCGTAATTACATACATCTGTGCCTGCCACGTCGGCTTGGATATTGGAAGGATTCCTGATGCAGTTTGCAGAACACTTGCACATGAAATAGAGATAGAAGACTAGAAGGGAAACTTGGTCTCTTACATGATTGAGGGCTTCAGTTTATAGACAGGGCAACATTATTAACCAAGGGCCTGATCCCTTTTTTTTTCTTTGTTTGTTTAGGTACCAAGATATATTTCCTTTTATAGGAGAAGACTCTTTTGCAGGAGAGAGGGGAGGGAAATAAGGTGGGGGAGGGATTTGATTTCTTAAAATCTAAGAGGAGATGAGGCAGAGAAGATAGGGGCCGAGGGGGGAATGTTATGCTTGGCCAATAGCTGTACCAGGAAGATCAAATAGGTCACAAATGTGGCATCTAAATAGCTGAAGGATAATGATGATGATTATATATTTGGTGTGATAAATAAGTACCTAAGAACTGCTGATTGTTTTTGTCAATGGGAATAGCTTCAGTAAAGTTGATATTTTCAACAGTTTCAACACATCCTGAAGGAAGAAATAAAATTTAATCACATAGTGTAGTTCTGGGTGAATGTTTCATTAATTTTATTTAAATGTTCTTTGAGCATATATTGTGATTTATTGTCCAATATATGTAATGGTAATGTTCCAGTTAATATTTTCTGTTCAGCTATTAAATGGATTGTATATTAGGATTTTTAACAAGCTTCTTTCTCCTTCCTTTAGTAACTTTGACCATCTTTTGTCCCTTAAAACTAGGTTGACCATTGGCTGGAGTTTAGTGCTACGAAGTTGTCTACTGCCAGCCAGTTTCTTTCAGCAGTCCAAGAGCTCAACCACTGTCTGTCTCTAAGAACGTACCTGGTTGGAAACTCTCTGAGTCTTGCAGACTTGTGTGTCTGGGCGGTACTAAAAGGTATCACTATATGTTCTTACTTTCATTGGCTTGCAATCCATGTGTACTAGGAGTCTTCAAATTTCCTTTTTTGTGGATGTTGGTAGTGTCTCTGTATGCCAGACTGTATACTATTGCTCATGGTGCTTTGGCCTGTGCATCACTAGTGATGGGAGTAATATAGCTTAGGAAACCCTAGAATTGTTTTAAAATTGTTGTTAAATTTTATAATTTATAGTATGTAATTATAGATGTGAATTTTTAAACTTTTTTTGTGTTAACTGCAGGAGTGTCTTTTTATTACTTGTTGCCTAAATATGAAAATTTGCTGTGGCCCAAAAAATATTTTGCATTAAATATTTAAATTATTTTGTAATGCAGAGTAAAATTATATACAGAGACCTTTCCATAATATTATCTTAGTAGAGGAAATTTCTTTGGTATTTAGTTTGAATTATTAAAAGAGATATATGCTACCCTGTGAAATACCCTTTGGAGGTTAAAAGAAGCTTTGATCAGGTTTTGTGGGTTTGGTTTTTATATTCTCGTAGACATATGTCTAAAGTTGATAGGTGTCAGTCTGCCATTCAGTGTTACCAAATTCCTCTTGAAAGTAAAATGCATATTCAAGATTAAAAGCTAATATCTTTTGGTACTTTTTCAAAGTTGCTGCTCTTGAGAGAAATCTGAAGGGAGAGTACTTCTTTCTTTTTTTTTTGTTTCTCCTATCACTGTCAGAATCTTTCTATAATGAAGTTGTGTTCCTTGAAAATTAGTTTGTGGGAATACAACCCCTCAAAAATAAAGGATAATATTGGTACATGCTTCACTTCTGATAAAGCTTAGAAACGTCAAATGTACACACACTGGAGGGATATCCTATATTAAAGTTGTTATTAATTTTAAGGTGGGTGATACAAAGAAAAATATGTTCCCCAGTTGTCCCTCCCCACCTTCTGCTTTGATGAATCCAAGAAAGAATGTAGGGTTTGGAAGGAGTTTCTTTATTTAATTTGCTTTAAAATTACTTATGTCCTCATGACCAAATATTTTTTCAGAAAATGGAATAAGATAGATTTTTTTGATAATTTATAATTTTTTTTTAGTCTTAAAAATTACTGTTGGTAATCATTCTATTTTTATAATTTAATAGCTAGAAAAATGATTTGTTTTCTAACAGATAATAACATATGGCAAGAGCAATTACAGCAAAACAAAGCTCCGGTCCATGCAAAGCGATGGTATGGCTTTCTTGAGGTACAGCGTGCTTTTCAGTCAGTAGGAGCCAAGTGGACTTCTGGTACACCAAAGGTTAAAATGGTAAGATTTGCTCAGATTCTCTGGAGACAGTATCTTTATTTGTGTGAATACAATATAAGACAACTTGGTTTAGGTTGGAGAATTAAAAAGAATCAGTTGTACAGTAAGTTAATTTTTTGTAAACTCTTGTTTAAAGATAAAGCTGTTGCTTTCATGTTTACAAAGGCTGGAGTGGTGAAGGCCAGTGCTTAAGATGAATCATGTAAAAATAGCACCTCAGTCAGTGCTGCTCTTCAGATATATTGTTTGCTTTTTCTAAAGAAGATTTTGGGATCCTGATAGACCTGCAAAGGCCGTAGTCTTTGGTTGATTGGACTTCTTGGTCACATTCAGGTTAAGAACGCTAAGATGCAGCTGTTTTCTTTATGGAATAAATCAAACAATTTGGTGAGACTTTTCAATCCTGGATCAGACTTGAAGACAGAATAACTTAAAACTCCAGAATTAATCTTGTTTTGACGTACTATGAGAATATGAAAGTTGTGAAGAGATGAATGTGGGGTCCAATATGGCAGCTTTTTGTTGTCTGGTTTGGAAGGGGACCTTGGTGCAGAAGCTACTATCTAGAGTTTTATATCTGATTATACAGCTAATGTGATCTGTAATTTTTTCTCTGTTCCTTTTTTAGGCAACAGAAAAGAAAGCGGATGTTGGGAAGTTTGTTGAACTTCCTGGTGCAGAGATGGGAAAGGTCATTGTAAGGTTTCCTCCTGAAGCAAGTGGGTAAGAAACATAAGTACTTTGAGAAGGTTCAATTTGTGTTTTTTCTTTCAAAAAAAAAAAAGTGTGCTTTGGTGAGGATGTTAATCAGCTTATGAGACAAGACTATTAAGCCAAAAAGAGGATTTAAAGCTTTGTCCCTATCTATGTGAGCGCTGTATGTTTACTTCTCCTCTATACCTCATTGCAGTGCCGCCTGAACTTGGAATAGAGAGGTTAGTTGCCAGCAGGTGACATGGTGGTGCTCAGCAATGGGATGAGGAGAAGCAGAAGGACAGCATTTGCATGGATAATGGAGGCGTGTGCACTGACAGGAGCTATGATGTGTAAATACAGTTGTGTGAAAGGACTCGTGGTGCTTCTCAAGGAAGCTTGGATTTGAGAAGGGAAAGATGTCAAGGGAAGCTTGACACCAGATGTGTAATGGAGGCTTTTGGCCCAGGGGTCCAGACTGTATGAAGTCCCAAAAAACAAGCACCTTGAAGACCGTACAGTGGAGATGTAATGAGCCAATTTCCTAAATACAATTTTCAGCCAGCTTTAATTTTCTGTTTCTCTTTAGAATTGCCTGATGAGCTCTAAAATTTCCATGATTGCATTTCTTTATTAAACTGAGTGTTCAGCATCATATGACTTCTGTAGTAGTGTTTCTTACTCTGTTAGTCCAGTTTAAACTGTTGCTCGGATATCTTAAAGTTATGTATTATGTACATGTATGTGTATAACATATATGGGTCTGACATTACTTTAGTAGCTTTTAGTGTTTTAATTAAACACTGTTCTTTAGGGTTTTTAACTTTTTTTGGAAGTGATTTTCATTTTGTGGATTTGGGTTTTTTTATATTTAGTTTAAATTGCAAGTAGCTTTTTAGCTTTTGTTAAAATACACAGCAACCACAGTTTCAGAAAATTCCACTCTTCTGAATGAGGTAGGCTCAGGTTATCTGGTAGCCACTGCTGAATATCATCAACAGTTGGTTTAAGTTAGTCTGTAAAACTGGAAATAATTGCAGTCATATTTTTATATCCATAGTGACACTCTAATTTACCAGGTTAGGTATTTTTAACAGTTAACTACTAAATTAATGGTAGAAAAAACATGATGTACCTTCATAAATATATAGTATTTCAACAAACACCCTGGGTTGTTTTTTTTGGTTTTTTTTTTGTTAGACTTAGGTACTGCTTTTCATTTGTTCTCCTTCCCTCACAAAAAAAAAAGTCTAGCTGAAGTAGTGCTAGTGTATGTATTTATTTTTTGTTTCCTTTTTAGATATCTGCATATCGGTCATGCCAAAGCTGCCCTCCTGAATCAGCACTACCAAGTTAACTTTAAAGGAAAACTTATTATGAGATTTGATGATACAAATCCAGAAAAAGAGAAAGAAGACTTTGAAAAGGTATGATAAGAGAGCAGAGAAATACATTCACTGTGTAGCTAATTTAAAGGTAAATGACATGCAGGTCTGCTTTTGCACACTTTTTTTACACGAGATTTTTACAGTATCGGTAGCCTTAAGCTCGGAAGTATCTTAAGTCTTATGCTTGGAAGAAATTTCCATCATCTTTAGCTTAAAAAGCTTAAAGCCCTTGTATGGGTAGCTTATTTTTTCCCTTTCTCCAGTGTTTGTTTTACAGTATGTAGATAGGCAACTCTTGCAGTACACTGTTGTATAAATACTGCTCTGTGCATAACAAGTAATTTGTTACAGCTTTCATCTCCTTTTCTTGTCCTGCTTCTTTCTTGAAGTTGTCTAAGTCTGATCCCATGTAATTATAGGCTGTGAATTAATGCTAAGTGCCTGCCTCTCTTTACTTTGATGCATGTCATGTTATTCTTGTGGCTTATCCTTCCTGGACAATGAAGCATTTAAAACACCACATCCTCTATCCTCTTCATGCCATGGACAATGAAGCATTTAAAACACCACATCTGGCATGAAGAGGATAGAGGATAAGAAAACTAGCTTTCCTGAATATTCCAGTGTATATTTTAACACTTTGCAGGTTATTCTTGAAGATGTTGCAATGCTGCACATCAAACCAGATCAGTTTACATACACCTCAGATCACTTTGAAACAATAATGAAATATGCTGAGAAGCTTATTCAAGAAGGGAAGGCATATGTGGATGATACTCCTGCAGAACAAATGAAAGCAGAGCGTGAGCAAAGAGTGGAATCTAAACACAGAAATAACTGTAAGATATTTTAAGCTTCCATCTTGCTTTCTTATCTTTTTAATTTGTCATCAAAACTTGTTTTTTTTTTTTTTTTAACAAAGATGGATGAGATAAATAATTGCATATCTCTAGGGTCCTTATAGGAACTTGGAAGTGCTTAGTGCTTTGTTCTGCAAGGCGGGAGTAAGTGTACATTTAGACAGGTGCAGTAAACTTTAAAAAATTCAAAATGTAAGCT